GGCAACACCCTTCCCCCTTCCTGGGCAGCCTTCCTTTCTGCCACTTAGACTCTCTCTTCTGCTTAGCCCATGTTTTGGAGCAGTCACTGGTCTGCCCTAATGGTACCATCAAGGCCTACTGCCTCACCAGCATTCACTCACCTCTGCATCCCTATGGCCTCACACAGTACCCACCTGGCACTTGAAAACGCTGGTTGGAGGAATGCTACAGTGGAGGAATGGTCTCGCTATTGAGAAAACAATAGGCCTGACCAGGAGTTTAGGAAATTAAGCTGAAACTTGCTGAGAAGGGTCCCCTCTCCTCCCCCGCCCATATGTCTTTCCATTTGTAAAAATGATCACCTATTGTTGGAATACAGATGGAAAGAGTATGTTTTTTCAAGTCTACTTTGTCTTTGGAAATAGAGGAGGCTTCAAGGAACAGTGCTAGACGCTAGAAATGGTTCTGCTTACTCTGAAGAATTCCATCCTTGCTCCAAGAACTCCAAGGTCCGGGGGCGCTTACTGTTAACCAGAGGGGCTGTAAGCACTGACTGCTTGGACAGGGAAAGAAGCAGTCCCCTAACCTGGGAAGGAAGCAGCATTTGCCCACTTAAGGCCTAAGGCAGTCTCCGTGGGAACGGGCCGCACACTCTTTGCATAGTAAACCACCCTGAAATCGACTGCAGCGGGTCCGGTTGTAAACTGAAACTCCGGAGGCAACCCTCAAGCGGTTACATTTTCTGGTCCAGGACATTTCCCAGCGTTGTCGCTGCGTTCTCTCCCCTCTCCACCGCACGCACCCTGCTTCCTCTCCGAGCAAGGTTTGGCTCGCCTCTGCTTGACAACTGACCTCTGTCTTACCTGAAGCGGAGCACCCCAGGATGCCGCGCGCGGTCGGCGTTTCATTCATGAGCTCAGGCGAGGGAGGCAGGGACCCGAGCTTTTTCCTCTCCGCTATTAAAAAAAAAAAAAAGCCCCAAACAACCCAGTTTTGCAGCGGAAAGGGAAAATGACCTGGGAGTGAATGGCTTGGGGGAGGAGGGAAGGGGTGAAGTTATTGCACGATAACGGTCCTAGCGAGAGCGTCAGCAGCCCGCCCGCCGGCTATTTATACCGCGCAGATTATGCAATCGGGCTTCAGCCATTCATGCCCGGACCGGGACGCCTCGGGCCCGGGTGGGGGTTGCAGGGCGGGGGTGGGGGTGGGGGGAGTTATCCCAGGGCGCCCGGTCAGTTTTTAAGTTTGCATCACCCCCCTTCATGACGTGCGAGCTTAGCTTTCCCATTCTTGCGAACGGCTCTGGGTTGGGGGGGAGACAGCTGGGCTACAAACTCCCAGGGCACGCACTGGCACACAGACTGCTTATTTAAACATCATATTAAAGGTAGCAGCGCGCCAGCGGAGCAGCCAAGCAGCGCGCGGGGCCGGGCGCCGGGCAGACCGGAAGGAACTGATAACCCAGCGCTAATGATACCGCTCCCTCCCGGGTCGGAAGTGTCCTCCGCTCGCCGGTCATTGAGAAATACCGAAGGGGCAGGGAGGGGGGAGGGTGAGACGAGGACAGGCCAGGGCGCGGCTGCGCGCGCGCCTCGCGGGGCGGGGAGCCGGGGCGCTGCAGCTGCAGGGGGAGACCTCTGCGGGCTGGCCCCGCACCGGGCGGCACACCCCGAAGCGCACAGTCAGGTCCCCACCCCCGCACCCCCAAATCACAGCTGTCACCGCGCTCCCCTGCAGGGGGAAGGCTGAGAGGGTTATTGGGTTCCCCACCCCCACCCCGCGCCCGCCCGGGGAGAGCCACACTCCGGTGCTACCGGACCCCGAGCAGCAGAGACGGCGAAAGACTAGAACGAGAAAGAGGAGGGCTGCCCGGAGACAGTGTCCACTTCTCCAGGCCCCCGTTCGGGGCAGGAGGGGGCTGCGGCCCAGGCCCGCTTCCGAGTGAAACTAGACCTGCGGGTCTACTGAGCATGCCCGTCCCGCGGCCCAAGGGGGTCGCTCCGACTCCGCGCTCCGGGCTTTCCGCGCGGCCGGCTGAGGGTGCCCCGGACTCGGAATGATGAAGAGGCAGGCGGGGAGTCCGGCCCCGCTAAGTGTGAAGTTGAGAGGATGAGGTCGACGTTACTCTGAAGCTGTAGATCTTATACTGAGTCTCTTTGGTTTCATCGGGTTCAGAGTAACCTGCCTTTGCGCCCCCCCCCCCCACTATTATGCAGGTTGTGGGGCGACGCAAGGATCTGGTTTAACTTAGTTCTTGTAGCAGTGCCTCCCTCTGAAGCAAAAGCCACCCGTTCAGGATCACCTGTATTCTAGGAACAACCCAGTGGACTTGAAGGATAATACCCTGGCAATCAGGCCCACAAACACATCCATCTTAATGCCCCCAAATATGTATTTTATGAAGTGGCAGAAGTCACCGGTTGAAACGGAGGGGACAGACAATGTGGAGACCTGCCAAGTTCCTTTCCATCAAAAGGCTGAGGTTTTAGGGGTGAGGAGGCCCTCTGTAGAAGAACTCGAAGCCCAGTCCCCCAACAGGCAACTCATGATCCCAATGAGCTTCACAGAAACTTCCCGGAACGGCCATTTGACTTTCCAGATGGCTATCTTGAAGGTGTTACCCTGACAATACAGAGGCAGAAATTGAGACTTAGGGACCAGGGTACTGCTGGATCTGGCACCAGGAGATCAGAGTAGGGCTATTAAACTGCTTAGATTAAGTGTTAAGAGATTAAGAGTTACTCACATCACTTTGCCATGGGGTTATTCTGAACAAGGACGGGAGAAGCCCAAGATAGGCCCCTTTGACTGCGTCATTTTGACAGGAACAAACATTCCTAGAGTTTGGGGATGACAGTGGGATCTCTTTCAACACCTTTAGGAAAAAAAGAACAATGACCAAGAATTAAAACTGTCTTTGTCTTCTGAGGATTGATAGGATACCTTGATTTGCTGAGTTTTGTTTTTTTTTTTTAAATATATAGATTGCTACTGATCTCAAAAACTCTTAAACTTGGCTTTGTGATCCATGTTTTATAAAGAAACTAAAGAATTGCCAAGAATTTCACTCTAAGTCTCAAGGATACTAAGAGAGGTCTAGAGCCCTTTACACCATCCATATGCCAGCAGTCAGTCTCAAAGGTAGGTGAACCCCAATTCACATCTGCAAAGGTTGTGAGAAGCAGAAAACCTAGAGTAAACTACTAGTTTCTCCTTGACTTAAGGAGAAATTCTTACTATCTTTGGAGCATGTGTCTTTCTGAATGCACACATATGCCCTTTTAGGCATATTATAGTTGAGGCATGTGTTTGATCCCTTAATTTGTTCAGTGTTTGCTAATTTGTTAGACTCTTGGCACACTCAGGAAGATGGATAGAAAAGCAAACTGCACTTGGGGAGCATGAAAGAGGAAGGACCATATCTCTGGCTCCTGCACAAAATTCTACAAGAAAACCCCCACTATATAAATGGTGGAAAGTATTGTCACATTAAAATACCCACCCCACCACACCCCCCAAAAAAAACTCACTGTAAAGAATGTTAAGCGGTAACAGCGGAGCATCAAAACAAGGTCAGTTCTCTATGCCACTGTGCAGGCTGCAGACCAGGAAGCCTGTCCTGCCTATTGCTCCATTGCCGGAGAAAGCTTCAGGGTCCCAGACCAAGGCAGGAAGACTCAAAGGAACTCAAAGAGCTTTCTGTCTCCGCAGCTCAGTTGATCAAAACCCTCAGGCTGGCAACCTCTGGTCTAGTAACTATGGCCTTCAAGTGCCTGGGACAAGGGCCATAACCCACGAAGAGATTTACTGAATAATTTAAATTTATATTTGGGATTACCCTTAAACAGGACACAATCCAACAATGCTACAAAAAAAATGCACGCATTGCTGAGCTGCATGGAATTCACTCTTTTTCTTTTCTCTTTTTAACGTGCAAATAGTGAAATGGAAAAGCCTCTGCCATTCAGAACCTTGGCAAACGCACTCTGCCGCCCCCACCTTCACGCCTAGGGCCGGGGGGTTGGTCCTTTGAGCCTCAGCACCCCTTCGGGTCTCAGCCTTCCCTCCTCCTCCGCTGCACCTCCTCCCCGATTCACCCCACCACCAGTCGATTTTATTTTAAAATCCAGGGGTTTGGGAGAAGGGAGGGACCCAAACGGGAGCCAGATGTGTGCGAGTTCCCCGCTCCCGCCTCCACCCGCCTCTCGGGCTTCTTAAAACCCGGAGCGCCGCCCAAGCAGGATCCGGAGCCAGCCCGACTCGGCGCAAACAACTCCGATCCGCGGCTCCTCCGGGAGTGGAAGCCCGGAGGGAGGGGAGAGGAAGCCGGGTGTGCTCGCTCAGTAGGCGGGACAAAGTTTCTCTCCCCCCCCCCCCCCACACACACCTCCCTCTTTCTCTCTCTCTCCCTCTCTTGCTCTTTCTCTCGCTCTCTTTTTTTTTCGGTTGCAAGTAGGAAGCTTTTTGCACTCCACCACCTCTGGCCGCTGGGAAGACGTCATCGCTTCCGCCCTACTTCCTCCTCCTGTTGGCGGCGGTGAGAATCCAATATGGAGTAAATCGCTGGAGTGGAGAGATGGGGCTCGGACGGGGCGCCCTGCACCGCCTCCCCGGCGCACCTCCCCCCGCCGCCTAGCGCTCCCCGGAACCGGCATTGGCCCGGCCCCCTTGGGGGCGACCCCGGACCGAGCCCCCTCCCGCCGCGGGTCCTCTCCTCCTCTCAGCAGTCACCGCCGCTTGGCCGCGCGCTTGTTTTTCTCCTCCTTTCCCCACCGCCCGTCCCCCTCGGCCAAACCTCTCTCCGCGGGCGTCCGCGGCCGAAACCCCCGGAGCGCTGCGGCGCTCTCACTCCTCCCGCGGCCGCGCTGCCTCTGCACCCCCTTCCCCAAACCGTGCCCCGCACTCCCCTGGCCGCGCTTCCCCTGCTGCTGCTGCTGCTGCTGCTGCTGCTGCTGCTGCCGCTGCTGCCGCTGCTGCCCGGTGCGGCGCCCCCCCTTCATCTCTCGCCGTACCCCCCCACCCCCCACCAGCACCACCAAATCAGGCGATCTGATCCGGAGATGTGAAGACGGGGCGGGGAGGGGGGTGATGAAGGAAGATGAAGGGAGCGAAGCTGCCCGCCGCGGGACAGGCGTCTAGGTGAACAGGAAAATGACCGAAGAAACACACCCGGACGAGTAAGTTTGGCCGCGGGGTGGGACGACGGTGCCACCCGAGGGGACAGCGTGGGGGCGGGGGGACTGGGGCTGAGGATGCAGCCGGGGACGCTCGTGGGGGTGCACTTGGCGTGGGGTGCAGCCGCTCGTGTTGGCTTGCGGGGGTCGGGACGTGAGATCTTGCCCCGTCGTTGGAGAATAGAGGAGGGGGCGCGAAGTGCTGCGGGCCGGCGGGGGCGCGCCTTGCACCCGCGGAGCGGTGGCTGCTGCGGGGACCAAGGGCGCGCGGGTGACCTCGGGGCGGTCCCCGCTCTCGCTCTCCAGGGACTTGCAATCCACCCCCCCCCCCCCCCCCGCAGATATCCGGGCGGGCGGGCGGACACTGAAGACCCGACACCCCTGCCCGGGCTTCCCGGGGGTCCGCTGGGTTTTCCGACGGTGACTTTGTGTGACTCCAGCCTCCCCGCCCGCCCCGTGGTCCCTTTCGGGAGCCCACTGGGGCCCAGGCTCCGCCATTTCGTTTTTTCTTGAATCGCGCTCATTTGCATACCACATTTTCATTCATAAAAAAAAGACGGCGGAGCTGGAAGCGGACTGGGCAGGCGGCGCGGGGGTCTGCGAGCCGCCCGGGGTCCCCGCGCGGGCCGGCGGGCCGGAGCCTCGGCCCGGGGTAGGGGTGGGGGGGCTCGGCGCGGCGCTCGCGAGTGTGTTCGCGCGCCTGTGGGCCGGGGACTGGCGCCCCGTGGGTCGGGGCAGCTGGAGGGGGGGTGGTGGCTCCCGGGCGTGTGCGGCGGGGGCGGACTGGGAGCGTGCGGGGCAGCGTGCCGGGCTCTGTGTGTGTGTGTGTGTGTGTGTGTGTGTATACACACACTCGTGTGCGCGTGCACAGGCGTGCGGCGTGTTGTGTACTCCGTGTGCGCGTGCACAGGCGTGCGAGCCCGAGGGGAACAATGCTGCAGGCGCTGCGCCCGGGGGGCCCCGGAGCCGACCCGCCGCCGACTCCGGCGGGACCGCTGCCTTCCGCCAGCCCGGGGCTAAGGTACAGCTCCCTCCTACCTCTCGGTTGCCAGATCCGGTTTGGCGCTTTCCCACCCGCTGCCCGAGGCGTTACCAAATCGCGGGTGCTACGGGAGGCCGGGCGCCTGAGGTCGTCGGCCTTGGGTCCGAGTGTCACTGCTCGGTGCTCGGTGGCCGCCACTGGTTTGCTCACCGGCTGTCCCTACCGTCAGCCAACAACCACTTTCTTTTTCTTTTTCTTTTCTTTCTTTTTCTTTCTTTTTTTTTGTGAATAAGACACTCTCCTTTATTGTCACATGATATCCCTTCCCTCCTCCCCTGCACATTCATAAATCCGGAGCCTGCCTGGGCTCTTTTCATTCAGAGCTGCCATTAGCCAAGGTTGCTCTGGCACCCGCCTGGACGCGAGGAGTCGGTGGGCAGCGTCTACAGGGCGGCTCCGCGCGGGTCTGCAGGGGTGTGGGGGCTGCGGGCAGGGAAGCCCAGGAGGCCCTGAGTCTTTTGCCCCAGGGAGCCTTGAGGCTCACTGCGGAGAGGGGAAATGACTCAGGGCTGGGCGACTGGGAAGACTTGCCTGCAGCAGGTGACAGAATGCTAATGCCCTACTCCTAAGGACCTGCTCACTTTTTTTTTTAAAATGCCCCTTTATCCTTGGGCGTCTGTTGTTGCTGGGCGGGGCGGAAGGTCGCGGGGAGAAGGTTGGGAAGATTGGTGTTTGGGGAAAAGAAATTTCCTTCCTGTGAATCCTCAGGGAGCCTCACTCCAGTAACCTCTGGTTTTCCCGTGGCTGTAGAGGATCCAGTCTGGCGTCCATGAGCCACATTTGCTGACTTTTCTAGGAGATATTTTGCTTTGCTTTCATAGGCCATGTCTTGAAGTGGTAAAATGGAAAAAGTTGGTGTGTTGAGGGCTAAAATACGGAGGAGATGGATTATGCTGTGCACCTTGCCTCTTTCTGGGTTTCAAAAAACAGGTCTTTTGGGGGGTTTTCTTTGTACTTGAACATACATGTAGGTAGCTGTAGTAATCGTGAAGGACAATTAACCCACTCTGGCTTCAGCATTCTTCATCCCTGGAGACTGGGCCTCTCTCTTTTTAACTGCAGCCCTCCGCTTTGCATCCTAGCCCGTGGAGGATCCAAGCAAAAGGATTTGGGGTGGATGACCAGGCAAGGAGTAAACACCTTCTCCAAGCTCTCAGAGCACCTCAATTTGGTGCTGATTGTCCCCATTGCTGCCGGAAGCCCAGTGGAGACAGTGGCCATTTGAGGACAGTTTCTAGTGTCAGAAATCCGCAAGGCCATGGCCCAACTAGAGAAATAGGCTTCTTGGCATTACGTTAATGTAATCACCTTGGCAGGACACATGAATCGCCTGAAAGAACTGCATGGGCGGTAACTGCCATTTGTGGACAATGTCCATTATATTGTTCCATTTTCTTATATAACGGCCCATATGAAAAATGCCTTTTAATTGTGTGAGCCAGGAAGAAGGTTTCTCTCTTCAACTGATTGCTTTTTGTTATTGTTTTTTTGCCATTGCTGTCTAGAAGCTCGGAGCTAAAATGACTGATAACAGTAGCCATGTTAGCCTACGTTCTTGCTAGACTCGGATACCTCTCCTTTATGCCAGAACAAAACTGTGTTCTCTCCTGAGGTTTTTTTGTGTTTGAGGTCCTTCAGATACCTTTTGGCAGTAGGAAGGGTGTTTCTTATCAAGATAATCTGTGACCTCAAACTTGAGACCTGGAAAAAAATATCTGCACCTTAGGTGAAATAGATTTTCTTGGTAGCCTAAGAATATTTAAAATTTATATTAAAATATTTTAAGTAAAAGCAAATATTTAAATCTGCTACACTTGGTCTCAGAACACAATCAGAATCTGAAACTACCAAAATTATACTTAATTTTAAAAAATAATATTTTGGGCTAAATAGTTCAATGGGCTATAGCATATACTTTATATGCTGTAGGCCCTAGGTTTGATCCTTGGCACCATATGGTCCCTTGAATACCACTGGGGGTGACCTCTTAGCAGTTCCCTTGAACATCACTGGATATGACCCCCAGACAATAATGATAATGAATAATAGTTTTCATCTCACTTTTTCCCATATCCATTTCAAAATCCTCTGTAATAAAAGACATGGATTATTTCTGAAAACTTGTCTGGTCTTTTTACTGATGCACCTAAAAACTAGCTGCCTTGTGGAAAAGACAGTGATCTTTAATTCCATTCCGTACATCAAAAGACACTTAAGATTTGGGGGTCAGGGCCAGAGCGCTAGTACAGTGGGTAGGGTGTTTACCTTGCATGTGACTCACCCAGGTTCTGTTCCTGGCATCCCATATGGTCCCTGAGCACCACCAGGAGTAATTCCTGAGTGCAGAGACAGGAGTAACCCCTGAGCATTGCTGGGTGTGACCCAAAAAGCCAAAGAGAGAGAGAGAGAGAGAGAGAGAGATTTTGGGGGCAGTCGTGAGATACTACAGCAGGTAGAGCACTTACTTTATATGCAGCCTCCCAAGGTTGATTCTTGGCATCCCTTATTCATAGTCCCCCAAGCACTGCCAGTAATAATTCCTGAGTGCAGAGACAGGAGTAACTCCTGACCATTGCCAAGTGTGCCTACTTTCACCCTCCCCCCAAAAAAAAAACAAGACAACCCAAAGAATGCATATTAAGATTTACAATACCACAAGGTTTTTTTTAATAATTTAAAAAAGTCAAGAACATCAATAAGATATTGAAAGTGGTCTTTGATAGGCAGGAATAAAAGAAAAATGTAAATCATGCATATTTTATCTGTCTCTTAAAAGCATTTGATCGTGGTTATGAATTGTTTGGAAGTGGCAAACTAAAGAGTCTTCTCAGGCAGGCTGTGGCTGAGGAGATGGGTTTTGTTTTCTTTTCTGCAGCATCCTCATCTTGCTGAGAATGAACTGCAGCCTTTCTCTTTCCCTTTCTCCGAATCTTGAAAGGTTGCTCTTCTTTTTTTTTTTTCCTTTTAAAGGGCTTAAATATTTTTGTTGAACTATCTCAAGGAAATTACAGATGTCAAGACCCTAATATCTAATTATGTTATAGCTTACTTTGGAACCAAAGAGAATACTCTTCTGGGAACCAGAGTGATAGTATAGTGGGTAGGCTGCTTGCTTGCACATGGCCAACCCAGGTGCAATCTCCTCCACCACATATGGTCATCCAAGCCCCTCAGGAATGATCCCTGAGTGCAGAGGGCCTTGTATACGCCAAGCCCAGTGTAATACAGGGTGCCTCATAACATCATGTGGTTCCCTGGGCATTGCCAGGAATGACTCCTGAGCACAGAGCTAGGAGTATTAAGTCCTGAGCGCATCCACGAGTGGCCTCAATATACCTCCCCACACACACCAAGGGAAAAAATAGAAAACTCTTCTATGACACATAATACTATCATCACAATGTGGAAAATTATGAATGCGCCTAACGCTCTCCATTGTAAGAAAAAAGTCTGGCATAACTGGTTATTTCAGCCAGACTCTAATCAGATCCCCCTTTGAATGCAGTTATTTGTTCATTTTATGATTTAAGGCAAGTTTCTTAGGTATATCATCTTGGTTTCTTTTTTCTATGTAAATGAAAGATAAAAATGCAAATAAATTCACCAGTTTTGTGAAGCTGTCATGAGAATTAGGTGAGATAGCCTTTGTAAAGCTTATGGTACAGCACTAAGTATAAGGTAGGTATCTACTATGGTTCTTTGCAGGGCACTGAGTTTGAGTTCCCATAGGTTTAGCTTGTGAGATTTCAAATAACCCTGTGAAGGAGGTGTAATCCCGTGTAACTGAGCTGATGTCAGGGATGGAATCCCAGGCCTTACACATGTTGTGCACGAACTCTGCTCCTAAGCTACATCCTTGACCCTTGAAGGTGAGAGGGGCATTCTCTGCATACTGTACCCTGGAATGCTCAGACCTTGCTCCTAGCTCTGTGCTTGGGAATATTAAGCGGTGCCAGGGATG